AGAAGTGGTATTTGTATGAAAAATGGGAATTCTTCATTGATCAAACTGATTCCTATGCCCAGAAATAGGACTTTCTTCTTGAAGTGTCAACGACTGTTGTTCTCTGCCGAAGCAATGTATAGATTTGATGGCACATAAGGGGAAAGTGTTTTTAGGTGTTTTTTTTTGTCTGATGAAAGAAATGTACAAGGGTTAATGGGTTTTATTTAGCCTCAAGCGTGACCTTTTTCTTGTTGCTTTGCCTGGGACATAAAACTTGTCCAGTCCCAGAAAGAACCAGTCGGCATGAACCCATAATAGGGTGACGATTCTTATAAAATGTAAAATACTGTCGAAGCGCAGCAGGACACCGAACCGTGTCGCCAAAAAGGGGCCACAAATGCGGACTTGGTAGATTTTCTTAAGACAGTCCACGAGAAGTCGCATGTTGAGTGATCTTCACCTCTGGTCGGGTTGGCCGTGCCCCCCCTCCCCTACATGGTGCAGGACGCCGATGAACCCGCCCTTAGGCCGTAGGCATGGATGAGATTTGGAGGAAAATGGAAGGAATGCGAACAAGTAGCACACTCACGGTGAATCAACGTTGATTCAACGTCATTTCGTCAACGCAGCTAACGTTGAAACCGCGTTGCCTGTCAACATTGTCTCTACATTTAAAGTATATTCTTATCAACAATTGATTCAACGTTAACCTCAACGGTATATCGACATTGATTCAATGTTCAACATAATACCGCTAAAATACTAAAAGGCTCTTCTCAGAGCCAACAAGACCGAACGGTTGGACCATCAATCTGCGTGTGCCACTTCTATGTAGAAGGGCTATCCCGTGCCAAGCGTGACTACCAAGGAAATAATTTTGACGCTCTTGCACTCCAAGAAACCCACATTGCGAACCAAGAAAAGGAATCGAAACTCCTTATCCTCGGATTTCACCTTGTTACAAGTCAACACCATCCATAATATGGCCATGCAACTTATGTCAAGGACTCGCTGAAAGACTCGACCTCCTCAGACCCGATCAACAGAACAACAAATGCGATAGCAACAAAAATGCTTGAGCTAACTCTTATTAGCACCTATAAGCCCCCTACCTTGATTTGGACTCTATAGAAAGTCCTACACACCTTCTTGGACACAAGAGAGCTAAGAGCTCTTTAAGGAATATACCGAATCAGGCGACCCAAACATAGCCTCTGCCCTCCTGAAGTCATTGGACTCTGCTAAGCAACAGGGATGGACAGAAGCTATGGAAAACCTTGATTTCCCGCTCTCAAGTCGTAAAGCCAGGCGCCTCCTCAGACACCTTGACGTAGCAGGACCACCACTGCGTCAGCAAATGATATTGCTGCTCAAATACTAAAGAGCTGAAAGAGTCCAACAAGCAGAAGCAAGAAACAAAAGATGAAAGCTGACATTCACTGATCCAAGTCGGCACATCCTCCCTCATCGAGTTTTTAATCCTCCTTCACCGTAGAGGTCATGACAGCCCTCTCGGCCACAAGATCAGGCAAAGCCGTCGGACAAGACGGCATCTACCCTGAGTTCTTGAAGAACCTAAGGCCTTATACACGACAGTGGCTGGCCTCATTTTTCTCTAGCATCCAAGCCTCAGGAAAAATACCTAAGACAATCGAAAATAATTGCCATTGCAAAACCTGGCAGGCCTCCACACGACCGAAAAAGCTTCAGACCTATCTCATCGCTGTGTACAGCTTACAAGCTTCTCGAACGGCTGTTATTAGCCAGATTGTGCCATATAGTCGAAGCACACATCCCACCTGAACAAGCTGGCTTCCTACCGACCTGTAGCACCTGCGACCAGGTACTCGCGCTGACCACCTTTATTGAGACTGGCTTCCAGCGCAAACTCACAACTGGAGTCTCGTTCATCGACCTCTCCGCCGCTCACGTCACTGTTTGGCGCGAGAGTCTGCTTTGAAAGTGTCTAACATTGTTCGGTGCAGCAGACACTACGTCTGCTGTCCTACATGTTAACCAACCGGAGGTTTCGTGTCAACATGTCACACTTAGCTTTCGATGAAGGCAATTGGAATGCTCGTTGTTAAGAGTTCTGGTAAGAGGCAGGATTTATTTGTGCATGTGGACAACTGGACAACTGCCATCATAGATAGGAACGCTTTTTCCCCCCAAATTGCATGGGCAATGGGCAGTGGGCAGGTTGGGACGGGATCGAATGCCCGTCAGAGACTGCACTTAGTATAGATGGTATGCGGTTCCTTTTCGGCACTTTTTCAATGTCAGCCTTGTATGCAGCCCAAATTCGTCTTTGTACTGAGTTTCGTGGGTCTTTATGTGGGCGTCAAGCTGCTTGAGCTTTTGCTGCAGGCGATTCTCATCTCTACGCTTGCACTCTAATCTCACTTTCAATTCGTCCACCTCAGACGAGCGACGCCTCTTCATCTCCTGGTTGTCTTTGGCAATTTTGGCCACGGTGTCGGCGAGGCGCTTGTGTTTAGCATTGGACGTTGACACTGGATTTCCAGATCGTCACTACTTTGAAAAACGCGGAAACGTGAGGCTTAAACGTCACAGGAGTCGCGATTCAATCTAATTTTCACCTTAAATGATAAAAAGGAAGCTATATTCAGAGATGATTGACAACGCTACTGCAAAGGATTTGGAGTTTCCGATGAAAAACTAAATAATTACTTAATAACGACCGAACAACAACAAAAAGTTAAATTCCTCCTCTAATCATCCAATATAGCTAACCAGATCATTTCTTCTTAACGAGTAGTAACCACTAGAAATATTGGGAATGGTAGAGGAAGAAGGAAAAGAACGTGAAAACGGGGATTTGCTCGCCCCACGAAGATCGATAATTTCCTTCCCCACTATATTTTCGGCTATCTAAATTTCTGTGCCGATGTAGCATGCGAGAAAAGCGAAACAGTAATGCAGTTCCTTATCGAAAAAAGGACGTTTCCCTCTTCTAACCTGAGCGTGTTAAACGTAGAAGCACTGCCGATCAGCGCATGCTGGCATTGCGACACGCAACCTCAACTGATTTTTCGGGGATTCCCATGAGATGAGATGAGATAGTAATTTTTACAGAACCAAAACTTTCAATTTTGTCTTTAAAAACTTGAAACACTTTTATCCATCAGCGAACTACCCTGTGTTTGCAAGGAACCAGAATATAATTTGCTTATTGACCGAAATCATGAACACATTATTACAGGAGATTTAAATATTCTAAACAATAGAGAACTTAAAGCTATATTCCTACGAGGAGCAAAATATCGGTTTAATCATAGGTTCAGCAAGGAGGAATAAACGAGCAAATCAACACGTATATCCAATCTCAAATTTCTCCAGTTTCTTTTCAAACTGGAACCTATGACGCCTTTTTCCATCCAAAGAGGATAGAAGTTTTTCAAGCTTTTAAAGAGAAAATTGGAAGTTTTCGGGTCAAGTTCCCCAAAGGCTTTTCAGATATTTCTAACAGAAAATTAAAAAAAATCTCCTACTGGAAATACACAAAAATGTTGTGGTCGTCACTGTAGATAAGGCCAGCAATAGTTTTGCCTTCATTTACTAGAGTTTATATAGCCAAATACTGAAAAATGAAAATTTGAACATCCCTACCTTTTAAGAGCAAACCATGAGTCTTGAAAAATGCAGGAAAGAATGTTTTTAGTGCCTGTTCAGAATAAGGAATAAAAATAGGCTCGAAGAGTTCAAAAATACCTTTCCTTTTGGCAAACCCCAAATTTAATAAAAATCCAATAAAATTTCGGTTCATCACCAGCTCAGTCAGCATGCATCAGAAATCTCTCAATTCGAGTGAATGAGGTTCTAGGTCAGCTCATGAATGAGCTCCATTATTCCTCTCAAAATGTCCATGAAAACTGGATTATAAAAAATAATGAAGGAGTTCTGGAAGCTGTAAGAAATATCAATATTATTAAAACAGCCAAATCCATCAGATCATGGGATTTTACCATGCTATATACAAAAATTCTCCTATACCTACTCCTGTGTGTTGTCAGAGTGGAGTCTGACAAAACGCGAGATTTCCATCAAACGCGGGATCTTCCAAGGCGACACGCTATCTCCTCTACTCTTCTGTCTGGCTCTCAACCCTCTCAGTACTGAGCTAGCTCGGACTGACTGTGGTTATTACGTAGGAAAGGGGAAGAATGCAGACCATTGCATGAACCACCTTCTCTACATNCAACACTCTCAGTACTGAGCTAGCTCGGACTGACTGGTTATTACGTAGGAAAGGGGAAGAATGCAGACCATTGCATGAACCACGTTCTCTACATGGACGACCTGAAACTCTACGCCTCCAACGAGAAACAGCTCGAAACCCTTCTCAACGTCGTCAGCATATTCTCGAAAGACATCTGCATGAAGTTCGGACTCGACAAGTGCGCGAAACTCTCTATCCACCGCGGAGTCCTCACCCCTATGGGGTGAGGACTCGGCCCCTGACCGAAGCTCCGAAGCTTACGGCCCCTGACACCTATAAGTACCTTGGTGTGGAAGAGAACTCCTCCGTGGCTGTCAAACGAATAAACCGGAGACTGACGACTGAATACAAACGCATAGTCCGTCTCGTACTGAAGACCGAGCTGTCCGGCAAAAACAAGATCTCTGCCCTCAAAAGCCTTGCTACCCCTGACCTTAACTACAGCTTCGGAGGTATCAATTGGTAATCTACGGAACTCCAAGCCATCGATCAACGGATCAGAAAACTCCTGACTATGCATCACACCCACCATGCGAAGGCTGCTGTTGAAACACTCTACTTTCCGAGATGCAAGGGAGAGAGGGGACTGATCGAACTCGAGGCCTATAAACGGACGACGTGCGAAGTAGCCAGATACATCGAATGGAAGCAGGAAAGACTCATTTCCATCCTGAGAGAGCGAGATGCCCTGAAGGAGTCCCACTCCATCCTGGGAGATGTCATGAGGGAAACGTATTAGGCTGAAACTGGATGGCTGCGTATCACACATCTGTGGTTCATGGATGACTTAAAGCTATACTCCTCATCTGAGAAGGGTCTCCATCATGCGCTCTCAGTAGTTCACTCCTATTCCACCGACATCGGAATGGAGTTTGGGATAGACAAATGTGCCTCCTTGGAGATGAGGATGGGCAGGGTAGTTGACATGGGCAAAGACGTGGACCTGATTGATGGAACTGTCATCCACCATCTAAGTGCGGAAGAGACATACACCAAACTTGGTGTGCCATAGCGGCAGTCCCAGGAGGTGAGTACCATCAAATCGGCCATCAATAGGGAATACAAGCGTCGCCTAAGGTGGATATGGAGCTCAGAGCTCTCTTCTCGCAACAAGGTGACGGCCACCAACACCTTTGCAATCCCTGTCCTCGTCTACACCTTTGGTGTCCTTCATTGGACCATGAAAGAACTGGAAGACGTGGATCGCGCGACCAGGAAAACCATGAATTTGCATCGTAGTCTCCATCCTAAATCTTCCGTTCAGCGTCTATACCTTCCACGGGATGAGGGTGGGAGAGGCCTGCTGGGAGTAAGGCATCTGCACGATCGGGTGACCATCGGAACTGCTATTCGGCTGCTTACAAATGGAGACGACCCCCTCCTAAGCCTTGTGATTACTCACGAGCGCGTAGGTGGGGGATCCTTTCTCTTCCAGACTGCGGAACGAGTCTACCATACTAGGTAGTTCAGAGGCCAGAAGCAAATTTCCTATTAAAGATACTTATCCCAGAGTCTCCTACAGCCTACAGAAGCCTTTTAGTAGGCTTGTTTGTAATTATAGGCCATTTGTCCAAGATCTTGATTTGACCTCACTTGAAGGCTTACCTTGTACGTGTGTAGATGATAGGTATAGGAGCTATGCTGACAGGCATCATGGGCACATTCTTACTGGCGACCTAGGCATAATCGAAAATGTTAAACTCAGGGCTCTCTTTGGAAAAGGCAGTAAATATAGAATTAACAAGAAATTAAATAAGGAGGAATTCTTTTCACAATTTGAGATGGCTTTAGACAAGTTTATTAAAAGTGCATCTTTTAAAGCCGGAATTCCTCCAAAAGTCTTTTTGGAATGGAAGATTCACATCTCTGGGCGCGTTAGGTTTCTACTACGCCAATTTATCCAAAAGAGCTCTGAGAATCATTTTGATATCAGGAAAACGGAACTTTCTAAATATATTTATCAAATTTTCAAAGGAATGATGGGCGGGGCTTTGCATTTGCATATGCTGGAATGTTCTCGAAGCTTCTGCCCTCGGGGTATATAAGGCAGCTTCTGCCATTAGTTTGCAGACATGGCTCCGATCGAAGAAGCAACTCTTCGCCCCATCGTCTACTGCGAGTTCCTACAATGACACTCTGCGTGAGCCGCCGCGGAAAACATCTGCGCTGCATTCAAGGGCAACGACGTCCACTATTCCACGGTATCTAGATGGTTCAAACGCTTGGAATCTGGCGACACCAGCTTCGGAGATGGACCACTCTCAGGACGTCCATCTACATTCGATGACGAAGCCCTGCGGAACGCCCTCAACGCGAAGCTGAACGCCACCACTCGCGAATTGGCGACTACACTTGGGGTCACCCATATGGCCATCGGTAACCATCTGAACGACCTCGGCTATCGGAAGGTTAACTCGACATGGGTCCCTCATCAAGCTCAGCGACTCTGACAAAGAAAGCCGTGTCAATGTCTGTGAATCACTGCTCCTTTTTCCGCACAGAAAGGACCTTCTGAAGGAAATCGTTACTGGAGATGGGAGCTGGGTCGTCTACGTCAACCATACTCGCAAGAGTCAGTGACTTCCACGAGGAGAATTGCCGCCACACGAACCAAAACCAGGGTTCCACGAGAATAAGGTTCTTCTCTGCTGTTGGTGTGATTCAGAAGGAATGTTGTACTATGAGCTCCTGCCAACCGGTACCACCGTGACTGCCGTCGTCTACGCTGCTCGACTTCAGAAGTTGGCTGGCGTCATTCAAAAAGAGTGTCCCAAACGCAACAAAGTTCTCCTTCTGCATGACAATGCTCGTCCACACGTTGTAAAGATGACTCACCAGACGATTTCGGAACTGGGCTGGGAAGTTCTACCCCATCCAGCTTATTCTCCAGACTTGGCCCCTTCCGACAATCACTTGTTCTGGGCCCTCAAGAATGGTCCCTCCTGCGGGACAAGGCCTTCGATGATCGAGCACAGCTCGAAAATGATGTTGGCCGTTTCTTTGCTTCCCAGTCACCAGAGTTCTGGGCAAAGGGCATTGAGCAGTTACCCGTGCGTTGGGAACATGTCATAGACAACAATGGTCATTACATTGTAGACTGAAATTACATTTCAATAAAGTTATAAAATTTTGAAAAATTTGTGCAGAGTGTTGCAAGACTTTCTTTCCAGCCCAATATAAATAGTTGCTGGTGAATTCTTGGGTCCTTGGAATTTCTTTTCTTCAATTTTACCTTAAGTTTACCATGTGATGATTTAAAAAAAAAATGATGATTTAAAAAATTAATTCAGCCACTAACCTCTTTTTAAATGTCTGAAACTTTTTTTGTGTTATGAATTTTTTCTGTGAAAGAGTTAATCATGCCTGCACTGCACACTCAATGGACCTAGAAGGATATTGAAGGTCTTGCCTGTTGTTTGATACTTTACTTCTCTACCATCTAGACAGCTATCTTCATTTGATGTAATTTCTGTCTTCTATGAAAAAAAAAGAGCCACAATGAAAATGTTTTTAAATCTTAGTCAACAATGAATAGATAAGACTATAAAATGATAGGCATGAGACAAAAATGGTATGGTTTTGAAATATTATTTAAATTTTAGACTGTATATGGCAATTTAAAAAATACTTTAAATTAATTTTTGTCAGGTTATATGAATATCAGAATCATAATCAAAATCTCTTTTAAGCCTAAGCACATTCTCTTCTTCTTTTCATGATGTAATTAACTTCCATTTAAAATTTATTCCTGATGATCAGTATTTCTGGACTTGTTCCCAGGTTGAGTGCAGGGAAAAAGAAGCTAAATATGAAAGAAGGGCATGAGTAAGATATAAGAGACTGCATATCTTTGATGATTGGATAAGAGCAAGATTATATAATTTTTTGACTGATGCCAAGCTAATATCAAAGTAATATTATCATTTCTGGAACTGATGACTGGATAGGAGTAGGATCAAAATTATTTTTAATTGTGATATTGGGAAAAAGAACAGGATAAAAATGAAAAACCAGATAGAAATTACATTGCCTTCCATCTGGAATTTAAAGAACTTCTAAGAGGCATCCCAGATACCCATGTGGATGCCTTAAATGTGACCATTGGAATTTGAAGGTCTTATAGGTTGTTTAACTTGACCCTATGGTGTGAAGTCTTGAATTTCAGGAATTTCTTGAACTCTTACCAGGCATTGGAGAAGCACTGTCGAGTGGGTTCAGGATATTCAGGGATCAAGGATGTTTATCAGGTGCCTCCCATGCATGATGATGTCCAACAGAGCTTCTTTCTTGCTGAAACCCTCAAGGTGAGGATGGACATGCAATTAGCCTTCATTTCATCACTTATCGGTTCATCCCTTTTCAAAATTTCTTCTTGATTCCCTTGGCTCCCATGTTGCCACCATCATCCACAATTCAAATTGTCAATCATTCACAAAATTAGTCATATCTACTAAAAGATTAGTCAAAAAGGAATTTTTGTGGTACAACATAAGCTTCTCTTCAGAAGAGTCTGCTGTTGAAGAGCAGTTTCCTTGGAATCTTAGTGCTTGATGCAAAGATAAGATGATTGTTATTTGCATGCATCTGAGATGAACAGTGACTTGAAACTTGCAGGAGACACTCCTTGTGGGAAGTAGCTTAAATGTAATCCTTGTGGTGCTTCTATGAATTAAGACGTTGACAGGGAGGATGGTGAAGAAATGACTGAAATATTGTACTTTTATTTTGTTCATATTGTATCAAAATTTAAATGACAATAATTCAGGCTGAAGACTGTACTGCTATTGACTATGCTGTACTATTGACTTGCTTATTGGGTTTGCTTTCATTGTTGTATGGTTGGGAGGGATCCTAATGTCTCCTTCCTAAAGCTATGCCATATCATCTTTTTTTTTCTTTCACTAATCATGATTTTTTACTCTTATAGTACCTGTACCTGCTCTTCAGTGATGACAGCCTCCTACCCCTAGATGAATGGGTATTCAACACAGAGGCACATCCATTGCCCATCAGGGGAAGGAATCCCCACTATTTCTCCAAAGATCGTGATCCTCGTCTCCCAAGCCTTGGGGATCTCAGTCTCTCTGGAGGCTGAGAAACCTTTTCCCACTAGGTGCGTTGTGGAAATTCTGCTCTCATAATCATGTTTTCATATCTAAGTCCTGCCAAGAGATGTTGGCATAGCTTTTAACATACATACAAAGCTCATACACTCTTTTTGATGGCTCTTGCATCCTATGATGGAATCAACCTTTCTCTTTTTGGAGTATGCATTTAAAAAAAAAATTTTGGGGTTCCTTCTCCAATCAGCATAATTAGCAGATCCCATCTTCTGTTGTGCAATGGTATTTTGATAAAAATGTGAGATTTCTCTGCAGAGGTTACCATTAATACATTCTGATGGGCATGAAAATATATATTTAAAAAAAAATTTCCTTACAGATAAATGGAGTTGAAGAGGCACGGGTGCAATCACTGTGATATTCAGCTCTTTATCTTCAAGTTGACAGGACTCCTATTTGTCTCTCTTGAATCAATTCACTTCATTAATCATTTGTAGGCAGGGAAATGTATGTAATATTGGGTTGATGTCTTGATTGTTCACTGCTTTCTTTCAAGTTTCTCATTTCAAATCAGGCCCCTTTTCAAAGACTGATTCTCTTTTGATGCTTGCAATAATTTTTAGTGCTGCAGGTATGTCAGCATTTCCCATGACCAATTCTATAATTGATGGATTGCACAAAACTTCTATCCTCCAATTTTGTCTCTTTGCAGTATTTATTTTCAGATCATTTCCAGTTTTGTTATGTTGAGGACACCAGCTGGGCAGTTGAAATCCCCCCCCCCCCCCCACTGTATTGCCTTTTTGATTGTTTTTGTTTTTTAGTACTTCATGGAAAAACCAAGCTAGTTTTTTGACTTAACTACTTCATTCTCCCCTCCCCCATGGTGTGCAGCTGTGCCCCGTAGTAGTGCAAACGGAAGATTCAAAAGTGTGCTTATTTCCCTTTTTTTCATTATTCAATCACAGTGGTGAAGTCACATGCCATTTGCTGAGAACAGATCGAGAGTAGCCAAAATCCTTATGTGGATTGTGCTTCCTTCTCATGTACTCCTCCAAGGTGAAACATTTGGCTTTCAGACATTGTGAGGCCCTTCTGAATAATGAGAAAGGCTTTCAAACCCAGGGAATAGCATCATTTGCTTGTAGGCCTTTTGTATTGGCTAGTGAGATACCTTGGAAATTTAGTGCTGTCACCATAATGTAAGTACCTCTTTACATCACTGTAACCTTGCACCTACCTGTTGTGAAGGAATTTTCACTTTCAGAGTCTTGTGTGATCTTTTGCAGATGCACAGAATATCATTTCTAGAATGATTTATTTTGAACTTCCTTTGTAACAAGGGGTGACAGCTTGTTTTCTTTGTGCAAGCTCATTTGAACCTTCTTGTGTAGTAGTTCAACACCATCAGAATACTTTTATTTTTCCTTTCATCCATACCAGCATTCAGAGGAAGTCTGGTTTGGCTGTTCCATTTTTTTTAGGAGAATGGGGAAGGGCATGGGATACTGTAAATTCTTTTTGCTTTTTGCTTACTGAGATAGGAAATGCTTTTGCCTTTTGCGTAATTGGTCTGAAATCTGAGGCTTCAGGAAATCAGTAAGTTCTAATTAATTGTTGAGTTATGGTTTTGCTTCAAGAAGAAAATTTCTGTATCAATTTGAAAAATAGTGTTAGTATCGAGGTTTTGCATATCCTTTCAAGGCCATTCCATGTTGCAAATCAGAAGGGCTTTGCATTCAGGTTTCCTCTTGCATTTTTAAGTTCATATCTCATCATAAGTTATGTTTTTGTAATTGCTATTTTCATTCCCTGAGGTGATATCCCCTTTTGTTAGTTGACACAAATGAACCCCTCACAAGATCTTATTCATTTTTGGGATCTTTTTCTTTCAAGGGTGATACTGTGATGCATCAACTGACACAAAATCAGTATTGAGTGACTCACTGCAACCGGTTTGCATTGTGCTGTAGCATTCCCCCCCCCCCCCCCCCCCCCCTCAGGAATGGTTATGTGGCACCTCCTTGCTTTTTTTTTTCTCTCAGCTGCATTTTAGAATGCATCTTAAAAAGGCTTCCCGTGCTTGCAGTGGTTTGATTTTGCATATGGGGTACATCTGGGTTTTATCTATTGTCATGAAGGGGCTGTGGGTTGTGTGAGTATATTTTATTTCAGCTGTGTGCTTGTTAATTGTGCAGACTCCAAATTACATCTGATTGGTTTGGCATTTACAAACAAGATTGCATCTATGAAGGACTCAAACTCCTTTCAGAAACTACAAGAGTTATAGTGGTTTGTTGCTTTTTGCATGACTTTATTCTCTGCATAAGTAGGGGTCCTGTGTTCCTTGGCCTATGGTGTTTTCTGTTACATGAGATGATGGGAATGGACAAAAATTCTGGGATACTACCTATGGTATACTCTCAGCCTTCTTCAATGAGTTTGTGTTTCCAATTGTACTTGTGTGATGATGATGATGACAATGATGACAGTGATGAAGCCAAGTTTGTCATCCCAGAGCCAAATAATATATAATATCAATCTAGTTTCAGTCTTAGCATGTATTCATTGCTAAATCACTACACTCATGTCACTGAAATCCTTATTGAAATAGCCTTTCTTGCATTTATGATGCTAAATAAGATGATGACACATGTGCCCCTGGAAAACCATTTGAAAGTCCATTAGCAATCCCATTGTCTAAAAAATTTTGAAGAAGCCCTGATTGTGTTTTGTGCTTTTGAGACATGAATGTCTAATTTTTTGTCAAAGTAATGTGAACTTTGTCACATTGTACTATTAGATACACAATCTGCAGAGGCACATCAGGGTATTGATTTCATAAACTCATGCCAGAATTGAAATGATGCATTCTGATAAGGTCAAATGAATTCTAGTGAGACTGGTGCTGTCAATATGATGCTGATGTTTTATTTTATCACATAAAGGGAGAGTAATGGACAATAAGGTGAAAAGAAACAACTCTTCATAACTTTTATCCTCCAGAAAATTTACCCATCTGAATGTTTCCTTAATGCTTCAAAAAATGTTTCATCGTATCATTGATCATTGATTAGTACACAATAAGATAACCATACATTCAAACCAAGACAAGGTTAAGAAGGTAACAAGACAAATTTATTTTGAAAGGAAGTCATAAAACTAATATCAAAAGTGTGATGTCCACAAGACTTTTCTCACATGCTGAACAGTTTATCCTACACTGGCCACTATTTAAATTGCAAGACCATGAAGAAGCCATCTCAGTGCTACCAAATGTTGTGCATGTGCAGAGCAAGAACCAATATCATTCCCTTTGCCCACAAATGGCACCACCAGGTAGCATGCACAAGTATCTCAGTCCAATGCTTCCATTTCAGGAGGTGATGTGGCCACCTCTGTCTGCAATGCAAGCCTCCAATTAACAGCATACATTCATAGAGTTAACTGAGTTAACTTACTGTCTTTCAAGTAAGACTAATTTAATATTCAGCAAATTCATGGGTAGGTAATACAGTTCCCCATTTCGTGAGCCTAGAGATGCAGAGCCCTTTTCCAAAATGACATATATATTCAGTAAATAATGCACAGTAATTTTACAATTTTAGAAGCCTTCAATATATTCCCAGTCTTTGGTAATAACTGAATTAAATCATTTTGGTGATTTTATAATGCCTTGAACTAAGCCTGGATTGTCTGTCTCTCATATACATGTCCACAGCTGCACTGAGGGCCTTTAGATAGTGGGAACGGTTGCCATAAAGGGATTCTTTCATCTGAGGAATTAGGTCAAAGTTTAGGGGACTTAAGTCCAGATTGTAAGCAGGGGGAGGTAGCATATTTCACCCCAAGTCATTGAGGAATTCTGGAACAATGCCAAACTTGGGAGAGGTATTGTGAAGGATGATTAAAGTGCTGTTGAGCAGCTGAGACTTCTTTATTGGATCGCTGGCCATAATTTCTGACAAAGGTCCTGTAGTATTCTTTGCTGATGGTCTGATCCACAAGGAGAATGCATTTACTACTGGAGACAAAATCAGCTTTTTTTCATTTCTCCAACATCCCTTGGTAATTTATTCTACCTACAGGGTGTCCCATTTATATCTGACACATTTATTTTTATAATAAATCAGGACTGAACAAAGTACTGCAAGCTGTTATTATATCAAAGTAAAGTACAAACATGGGAGATTGTCACACTAACTATCCCAGATCTATGCCTTCAAAAATTATTTAAATGCTGTCTTTTACAATTGATGCATTCCCTGCATTGAACGACTACATTGTTCATTACTGTAATGAGTGTGTGTCTTCACCAATAGTATCAATGGCTTCATTAATCATGAATTTAAGTTCATCTCCACTTCTGGGACGTGTCTAGTTGACTTTGTGCTCCAATAATCCCCAGAGAAAATATCCAGTGCGAACAGGTCTGAGGATCGGGATGACCATGAAACAGTGATGAAACCCAGAAATAATCCTTCCCCCAAACTGTTGCATAAAAAATGTCAAAATCCTGTACCAGATTTTTTTTCTCTGGGGATTATTGAAGAGCTAAGTTTATAAGACGCATCCAGAAGAGAAATGAACTTTAAATCATGATTAATGAACCCATCACTGCTATTGGTGAAGACACACTGATAAGAGTAATGAACAATGTAGTGGTTCGATGCAAGGAATGCATCAATTGTGAAAGATAGCTTTTAAAGAATTTAATTTTTAAGATAAGATTTTAAAGTAGATTTTTAAGATACCTGGGGTAGTTGGTGTGACTATCTCCCATGTTTGTACTTCACTTTGACATAATAACAGCTTGCATTACCTTGTTCAGTCCTGATTTATTACAAAAATAAATATTTTAGATGTAAATGGGACACCATGTAGAAAAAGAATGAGGAATTCATCAGACTTTCAGGTATTGTAGCACAAATGTATAAAATTAGGCTGCATTCCATCCTGATACTCCCTCGACCATGCTAGAAGTTACGTGCTTCATTTATTGAATGACCCTCATATGCCAAGATATATCCATCCTAAAACTTACAGGGTGTCTCAAAAGTCCGGACTCAGGTATTTGGGGTTGATTGAAACTTTCTTTCAATTTCAGATAATTGAAGAAAATGAGTGACAATAAAAATGAAGAAAAGGTCCGGATCTCACCCCATTGGACTTTTTCCTTTAGGGACATCTGAAATCAGTAGTTTATAACTCATGACCACGCAACATTGACGAACTGAAGGAGAACATTCGGAATCGCCAATAATTAATATAGAGGTGTGCCAAAATAAGTATGGAGGTACTGAGCAATATTCAGAGGGGGTTACGTAACAGAATTGTCCGGAATTTTGAGACTCCCAGTACATTATGAAAATTTATATTTGGAGCGATAAGAGAGGCTGCTCATCCTCTCTCCCGCAACCACCACCATCTTCCCTCCAACATATTATGAGTTTTCTTTTTTATACTCCTATTCTACAGGGTTGTTGATACAACTGTGTGCAAATTTAACCTAGAATGAAGAAAATACAGGGCAGCAACAAAAAATGTTTTACACTTCAATCAACTATGACTTTGTCATTTATTACGGTATGGAGTTGAAACTTACGTGACTGAATAGAGAAACTAAAAAAGTTTTTTTTTAATTATAATTGGAGGACTTGTTCCAAATGGCCACCTCTTCGTTCCACACAGGCTCTGAAACGCTGCGCAGCGTTTCTGACAACTTTTCTCAAGTTTTCCACCATTTATGCCGCGAAAAACTTGAGAAAAAAAAAAACAGAACCTATCACTGTGTGCTTCCAGGAGACGTTCTTAGATGGGGAGCACCCCTGAGGCAGACCACAAAAGGAAGCAATGTCCCCACCAAAATCGTGGGATCTGAGGAACAGAGTGCTCAGAGACGTGCCTCGCACCAGTAACCACGTTGAGGGATGGCACAACAAATTAGGGAACAGTTTGATTTGCCGACATTATCCAACTATATTCCATTTCCTGGACGTCTTCGCTGAGGAGCAGTTCAACAGCGACTGATTGAGCGGGAAAGGGGCTAATCACTACGAAACGAAAGGAATGTGATGTTACCAGAGATATAAACCTAAAGAAGACAACAGAAGAGTATGGTTTGAGGCCTTTGCTCGATTTCTTGAGAGGTTTAGCCTTCACAGTCAAGTTTTGAAGCAATATGGCATTTGACTAACTCTCTGTCTTGATGTGGCCATCGACCCAATAAAAGTGTTTTTCGACATTTTTTCCATTTACGATTTTGCCCTTTGCCATTTTTGTCTTCGACCATAAGGACGTTCGACGTTTGTGATCATTCGACATAATTGCATTCGACCATTCGAGAGGACCTAAACCACCTAAACATGTAGAATACATTTTTGAGGCCAAAGTTACAAAGAGCACGTCTAACAAACGTCATTTGGTTTCAACAAGATGGAGCTCGGGCACATACAGCCATTCCTTTCATTGAATGGCTCAAGAAAAGATTACCAGGACATTTAATCAGTCTGAGAGGGAACATCTATTGGCCCCTTAGATCAGGAGATCTTGGAGGCCAATGGATATCCCCAGAAAAATCCCCAAAGAAAAGCATTGGCTCCTGTCGGTATTTTTCTTCAGGGATATCTTAGTGACAGTGTTTTCGCTACCCGCCCTCACACCGTACAAGAATTACAACAGGCTGTGGGACAAGTTATGCCCGGCATAAGTCGTGATACCTTGCGAAGAGTTGTCAGAAACGTTGCGCCAGCGTTTTTCAGAGCCTGTGTGGAACGCAGAGGTGACCATTTGGAACACGTCCTCCAGTGATAAAAATACTTATCAAAAGTGTCTATTCAATCACGTTAGTTTCAACTCTATACCTTAATAATTGGCAGTTATAACTGATTGAAATGTGAAACATTTTTTTTGCCACCCTGTATATTC